TACATCGTAATATGTAAGTCTGACGCTTGTGGAATTTGTTTTCTTGGCAGTTGTGTCTAGCGATTTGAGGTAAACGTAATATGCATTGTTGACTGTTCAATCATGTGCATATGTTAATATTCAATTCTAATTTTCAGAAAAAAAAAAAAAAAAATCCAATCAATTATAAGAGTGAATATTGATATGCAAGGTCTATACTGTGGAATTTAAGAGCCTTTTTTATATGCACGACAGGTTTGAGAAGAAAGGTATGACTCTTCGCAAAGCAAGGGTTGATGTTAGGAAGCGTGTGAAGGGGCGCTTTGTGAAAGCAAGTAATGCTTATGATAACGATCCATTGAGCAAAACCAGAAGCTTATGAGAGAAAATCATTTTTAAACTATTCTTCCGAGAAGGAAAGAAACACAAGATGGTAGTTGGAAATGTTGGAAACACGGGTTTACTTTAGGAAGCTGACGCATTCTTTTCTGCAAAATGACAAGCTGCATGATTACATCCAAGGGGCCGTGGAGGGGAAGTTGGAAGTAAAGAATGGCCCAAGAATAAATTTCAGAGGCCCGCTGATCTCAACCAAAATAGCGATCTATCAGAAAAGACTTCTTGTTACCATAAACCTTTTTCTTTTTCTTTTTCTTTTTTTTTTTGAAAAAAAAAAAGGAAGAAGAAAGAAAGAACTCTTTTCTTATAATGAATGAATGCCAAGTCCATGTGAAAGTCACAAGACAACCATGAAAAACTTGGATTTGATCATTGAAAATTTCCACAAATTCCCAGGCAGCACATGACACATAGATTTTATTGTCCGCTTATTTAAACAAGGGTGTCACGAGTGCGAAAGAGACGCACCGAAGCAAAAGGCTTCAAGATTTCATCAGGAATTTGCTGTCGACTTGTCGTGTGCATGCTGCCAAGTGCTGGACTTTTCAGTATCTCCAGGAAGCGCTGGGTTCCTTGAACGCTGTTAAAGGAGCTGGTAATGTAAAGCCATCTTTTACTCTCTTTAACTTGTTTTTCCAGTTTGTTCGAAAAAATAGATAAACAAGAATGTTAATTTTAAATTTTTTTATTTAAAGAAGTTAATTTCATCATTTTTAAATAAAAATGTTAATTTAAAATTTTTTTATTTAAAAATATTAATTTTTAATTTTTTTAAGGATTTTAATTTTTAATTTTTTATTTAAAAATTAATTAGATAATAATATTAATATGACAAATAAATTTTTTAACTGAAATATTAAAAATTAATATCTTTAAATAAAAAAATTAAAAATTAATATTTTTAAATAAGAAAATTTTAAAATTAAAAATTTTATTTAAAAACTAATAAAATTAATATTTTTAAATAAAATAAAATATAAAGTTCACGTCTTTATTTGCACCATATAGCCAGTTTATCCTCTACCCCGCCCGGCCGCCCGCCCGGCCGCCCGCTTGCCTATCATCTCCTCGGTCCCACTTCCTTGTTTTGATTCATGAGTCTCAACAGATGAGAAAAGTGCAAATGGCAAATGGCATCTTAATTAGTAGGACGTCTTGAATTATTACAATCCTGTGGAGAGATTGCATTATTGGATTTACCAAAAATTGGCACCTTGAAAATTATGAGGAGTTAAGACTCTGAAAAATTTTAAGGGTTTGTCTATGTCCCAAGGGCACTAGTTAATATAATAAGTGTATAATTTTAATTAATTTATATAAAAATATAAAAATTAATATTTATTTTAACACTATTATTGCATGTAAATTTTTAATACTTTAATGGATTAATTGGTTAAGTTGAAATCAACACACATATATATATATATTTTATCATGGTATTTTTAAACAATTTTATATATTTCAAAATTAATTTTTCATCAAATAATTTTAAGAACGTATCTATTATGTCACCACACTGGTTTAATATATTTAAAAAAATGAATTTCTTGGAGTACTAACCTAAAATTTGAATTCTAAATATGATTACATGATAATATTTATTTATTAATAAATTTAACAAATTAACTAT